TAGGACTTAAAGAAGATGCTCTTGATGATGATAGAGGACATGGCTTTTTTGAATCCAATCCATTCAAGAGTTTAACTAGGGCTGCACAATGGGCTCAACCAATAACATACTTGCATATATATGAATGCGATAGTTTTACTGTAAGTACACCCAAATGTTTATTGTTCATGAAAGTTTTGTACGTGCTTTGCAGATGTGTTTTTTCTTCTAATTCCAGCACTAGAAAACTTTATTTTAGAAGATAAAAAGAAAAACTCAAAGAAGTTTCTAATATTACTTATTGAGAGTTTATTAAGACATTGTACAGCTCGAGTGTAGAATCCATGCTATGAATTTTGGTGCATCTACTTTGACATAACCTTTTTTGATACAGCATTTTAAAATAATGTTGATGAATGATATGAAGTGACAAAGTAGAAAAATGGGAATGAATGGCTTGTTTGAACTATGTGGTTGGGCGAGCATTTGTTGTAAAACGTTAATATTTGCATGCAAAATAATTTTTTTCTTGCTTTTGGTGTGAAATAAAATCTACTTCCTAGTTTTTTTTTTTCAAAACATTATGGCAAAGTAAATGCTGTTAAAATTAAATCGGTTGCATTTATTTTGTAGGGATTTATTATGCATGCATTATTAATTTGGCCTATCAAATGACCTCTTATTGAGTCTATGATTCTGACTATATGAGATGTTTGGAGTATTTAAACTAAAAGGTTCCTTTGAATTTAGTAGCATTGGCGTTAGTTATTGTTACAATCTTGCATTCATTTTTTATTCTTGTAAGTAAATTCATGAGGACTTACGTGGTAGTACCCTTTAATTTTAGGGCGTAACTGAAAGCCCATGCTCCTGCTAAAGTCCATGAACATGCTTATTCATAATTTAAAGAACAATCTTTAACCAAATTTTGTCAAAGTTTAATTGTAATGGCCCATACTTTTATTCAATTTTGCAGATTGGCATATTTTGCCTTCCAACTGCTTCTGTGATTCCACTTCATGATCATCCTGGAATGACCGTCTTAAGTAAAATTCTTTATGGTTCTATGCATGTGAAAGCATATGATTGGGTAGAGCCTTCTTGCATAACGAATAGTGGGAGGCCAAGCAAAATTTCAGGTCTGCTTCTTTGTCCATGGTATTGCATTAATACAGAAGTGCAGTTCTCTGTGCATCTATTATCTTTGAGCTGGCTTTCAATTCTTTTTTTTTTTAGGGAAACGTACATTAGTTGATCTTTCATGTTGTGTTATATCTATGTTGCTATTAAAAGGCAATTTTGAATTCCACTAAGAAGTTCTTAGACATTTACTTTAGATTTAAACTATTAAAATGTTAAGTTATCAAGTCAAAGTTTCCTCCATATCAAATCGCTACAAGATATAATTGAGATCTATTTATCCTAAACTTTGAATTGTGATTTGCTAAGATATTCTTTTGTGCTATGAGATATTTTGTTGACTTTAAAGATTGAATAAAATATTGTGGACTCTTGTAATTAGTTCAACGTTTCCAACATCATTGCTTTTTATTAATATAAATAAAGCCATAGAATAAGGGGTTAGGAATTCTACAATTACAATTAAATAGAGAGAAGAGAGAGGATGAGGGAGATTTGGCATCCCACAACTGCATGCACAAGCAAATATAGAGAATAGAGAGAGGGGAAGGGGTGTACCTGACTCTAATGTTCATTAATGGTCAAGGGCACACCAAATGGGAGATGAATTGGGTGTATAATGGAGCACTTTAATGCACAAGCATGTATTTTTTCCCACCATAACAAACAAATTTTCTCTTCAGTTCTCGCCGATCTCATAAGCATTTAGGTTTCTGCAAGTTTCAATATTTATTCTTCTTTATTGATTGACGATGATGCTGAGGAATATGAATCAGTAAAAAAATTAGATATGAATAGATTTATGAATCTAAGAAACTATAAATTTTTTTTTTTCGATCAATTTGATTAAGAACTTCTTTGATTGAGCATAGTATTTAAGTCGTTCCTGATGTGAAACTACTAGGAGTTACGTTTAGAAATGA